AAAAATACGCGGTTACGATGGAAGTTATGTTGACTGGAGCGAGACAGTAATTTGGTGGGGATAGGAGAGATTGTCTGACTGCACAACGGAGGTGAAAACTAAAGGGAAGTAAGTTTTGGAATTATTTAAACATTCGCCTTTGGTTGGCTAAAATATCTCAACGCACTTTGGCGGGTTTGTTTCAAAGCATTCCCTTCTTGAGACCTATTATAACTAACAGGAGCCTTTAAAAACACAAGGATCTTCACTTAATATTAACAACATTATCGCTCCTAACATTTTTGTATCATGAATTGTTGAATCTGAAACGGCAAATAACTGTAATTGTCAATGTTGCTGAAGATTTTACTCTATTTATTTGATGAAATTTTTCAGAGTTCCATAAGTAAAGTCCCGAGACAAGATTTGATTGTTTTATTCCAGTTAAAGAGTTTGCAATTTTAAAAGCATTTTGCTAAATGTATTAGTTTGAAATTGCATCATCTGGCTTAGCCAATTCAGAAGAGGAATTTTGAAGTTTATCTTTCAAGTCCTAGTTTTTATCCCTTAAATTCTAAGTTTACTTGCTGTACTTTATTTTAATGAATTAACTAATTGAGTTTTATAAATCATTTTTTCCAAGAGTCGTTTTTAGGATTATCTGAATGGTCCGAGGTAGACTTGACGCAATCATAGTGCAGCTCCTTGATAAGATGGCTAAATTTCTTATCTGATCGTTTTAATAGGCCTTCTGATCTTTTATTTACTGTCGAATAATGATACAATTTAACCACACTTCCTAGAATAATTCATTCTTATTGAGTACATTTAAGCCCGTGAAAAATTGTTCAGAAAGAATTATTATAGCTTAGGACCCCAAATTCGGCTTTGATTTAGTAATAAGCTAGAGAATATTAACATGCAGTAAGACCGCGCGGCTATTATCACTGCCCTAATTCCATTCCGCGGGGCAGAAGGACAATCTCTGGCCACCGAAGTGGCCGCGTGTTACAATTCACATTCATAAATACGCCAAGATGACGCCACCTAGAGTTCTCAAATATCTTAATGAATAAATTCCAGGAAGTTCCTTTAAAAAGTAAGGGGGAACAATTAATTAGATAAGCAGTAGTCCGTATATTTGAAACTGACTGAATTACAAAGGACGGTATCCGATACAAAGGCACAGTTAGCATGGATATGTACTTGTGAGGCATATGCCTGAATAATTATCCGAGGGAGGTAATCGAAGAGAGCTCGTTGAACGGAACTGAAGCACAGACAAATAGAGATAATCTTGTTCAGGTTTTCAAAACCAGTTCAAGCTCGCATTAAAAATGTGTGACTGTTGATCCCTCACCATTAATTTGTAATTATTTTTGAATGTCAAAATGAGCGGCATTATTACTAACCAACTAACGGCAATTTTCGCAGAGCTGATTTCATTTTCGTCATCCCTTTAGTGAAGACGCTTTGAGTTGAAATATAATTTATTAGTAACTTACGAAGCTCTTTAAAGCAAAAATGCATTTATCCGATTTGACTAAACAGTTCGCGCCAAACATCTGCAAAGCAAGGACGTAACCAGTGAAACCAATATAGCCAGTCAGTACGAAGTAAGCCTGATAAATGAAGAAAGACGCACAGGGATGATGTGAACGAATGTGGTCCTTCAGTGCCTCCCATGTCGGATGGTCATCAAAGCATTCCGTGCAGTAGAGGCGCACTTCAGAAGACCCTGTAGTTTGAGCTGCAGCACATCGCAACAAGGAATGAATTCGGAAGAAATCAGTATGCGCGCCATCGGTATGGCAGAACAATAAAGCAATTTTGAGTGAATCGGATTAAAGCACATGCAAACTTACTAATATGTGTTTCAGTGTAGTGATTCATGAGTAATTCGAAACTCTTAAATCGCTGGGGGCACATGGGGCACACAATGTGATACGAAGCTGTTGTCAACATTCCAAATGGAACTCTTGTGTTACTATCAACAAACATGTGAATGCAGCAAAAGTATCATAAGAACAGTTTTAATTTTACTTACACCTTTGGTGTAATAAAACCCTTCCAACGGTCGATTCTACCGTAAAGCAATCCGGACAGCATGCGGGTATGAATTCTAAACATATTTAAACTAGATGAAATAAAATGTTGGGAAGTTATCCAATGGTGCACAAGCGACACAACAAAATAATAAGAACACTAATTTGTCAAAATAACAGTTGATGCACAAATATTTTTTTACTTTTTCAATAATTTCAGGTGAAATCCTTGCATACACGCATTTGAAAGTTAATGAAGCTTACCCTGATGCACACTTGCCATGTGTGCCCGGTACAAGGTGCGGTTAGCGTGTGTCGTGGAGCATGAAAAGCAGGTGAAATCGTCCATTTGAGCAAAGAGCTGGATGAAATGTGTAGTATCCTGCAACACCACTTACACTGTTAAAGGAACGACCTTAGCTGGATCTGTCCTCAGATTTAAATGTGATTGAAACGCTAGGGATTGCTGATCACTGTTTTTGGTTAAAAATTCTAATGAAACAGGGTCTTAGGTAAAATTACTTCATTTGGTCTGCTTTTCCTTTATGCTTCCTGCAAATGAGTTTTCGCTTTAAAATGTCTCAAGCTTGATCAAAATTTGTTTGCCAGACGAGGTGATTATAAATAAGCTCGTCTTCTGGCAAATTCCGTTTCAATACAACTGATTCAAAATGACGTAGTGACGCGATTTCGGCAAAAATTCTGGCTAAATAAGCATCTCGTTTAAATGAAGCGAGTGGTATTTTTCGGCGCTTTCAGATGTGTCAGAAACGACTTTGATCATTCAAAACCACTTAGTAGATGAAGGTAAAAATGCACGAATTGTACGAGCTCTAAGAGAACCACTTTACTTTACCCTAGTAACTATTTAGTCGGTGGGTCCTGCAATACAAATGCATATTTTTTCCAAAAGATCCTTTATGTGCCTCAGCAAGCCCAATTCTGAGTTGCCTTTTGTCATTTGCTCTTTCTACGGTGTACTCTGCAGAATATTTGCTTTCGCTGACATGTTTCTATGCAAAATGACAGACCACTACGCGTAGTCTTCATTCTGAACCGTTCTAAAGGTGCAAAGATTTTACTTCTGTACTGCTGGCGTCTGCATCCAGTTCAAACGATAAAGCATCGGCACTGAAGCCAAGTAACTACAGCAGTAGAGTGAAGCAAGTGTGATACTTGTATTCTTCAATGATAAATCGCATTCTGTTGTCTTCGTGCTTGTTCCTATCAAATTATGGGAAGAAGCGACATTTTAAAAATCATTTGCATAGTCGCATGATTAATGTAGTCTTCTCTATCGGCTAGGTATATTGTCCGAAGTAGACATTTTCTTGGCTTCATTGTAAAGCCCTCTTCCTGAATTTCCTCAGGAAATAATCAAAGATTTCCGCAACGTGGTCTTGGACAACCCATGTAGGTACTACCACACCGTCTAAATTGATACGGTATTGGTTCGGAAAAAGAATGTCCTTCTTCACTTGATGCAAGGCACATTGAATTGAGGTTACTGCGTTTGGTTAACTAAGCTGTATTTTCCGACATCCGCAAAAGCTGGGGATTTGGCTACTTTAATAAGTTAGATCGCAGGTTGAGGTTTTAGATAGGAAGGCCATTATGGACCTCCTAAGGTGTTTACTAAAATAATGATGCACAACTTCGGGAAATAGTTTTTTCGTATTGTTACAATTTTTTTCACTTATCAACGCAGAGTCCTCGTTGAAAGCAAAAGTAATCCTTAGAAGTGGTTTTTTACTCTTAAATGTGTTCTCTAGTATAAAAGGTAGTAGTCCTTTGATGTCCATCAAATAGTGCTTTTAATTGTGTTTTCACCTCCTACCTATTTTGCTCTTGTTTTACGGCGTACTCCTAGAATTCACTAGATCCATTCCTTCTGGATCTCTTCTGGAATGCAGAGGGGTGAGCCTACCAACTAAAAATTGATCCACCAAGGTCAAGGTCAAAGTTTTTGATAATTTTTCTACCGATCTTATAGGGATCGATTCGTGAACTCGATCCTAACTCTCGTTCCTTTTAAACAGTTAGTAATTAATGCGTAGCAGCTTGTTAAAACTGGGTAGACGATGAGGTATGATTGCATGAGCTCGCCACCTATTCGAACACGGAGCACAAGCTCATCCCAAGCTTCCGTTCGGCTGCCCTTACCATGATGCCGGCTTATGATCTTTGAATAGACACTCCGCTGTCTTTTGATTGATATTGAATGATCGTTAGTATTTGCCAGAAAAATAACTTATTCATGTCAATAAGGTAGATACCTCGGTTCCCTTCAGTAACCTTTGGGTATTCAGGAATGTATGGAAGGTGTTGACTAGAAGTCGATATTGTTAATGAAAATGCCCACCTTGTTGTTGGAACTACCCCTCCAGAGTTCGACGTGGAGCAGTGGGACGTGCTACACACCACCTGCTCCATTGCCATTGTAACAGATTTGTCAGGAGAAGCATCTGTGGGATTGGGTCACACGGGCTATTCAGAGGTTACCTCTGTACCGTTTTCAACACTACTACTGAATTTGACGACATGAGGGCTCTGCTTTTTTCTAATACAGTTATCTATTCGAGAAAGAGGGGTTTATAGAGTCGCCCACTGTCACTTAGTGTTTCGCTGTATTCTAAACAAAATATTTACTCATTATAGCCGAGAATCTTTGGCTTTAACATAGTAATTTGACAAATGAAACGAAATACAACACATTCTTAAATCAATGTAAGGACTGTAAGTAGAGAATCCGTTCCTCGTTACAACGCCTTTAGTCATGATGTGGAAAAGGGTGACTACAAAGCGAGCAGTAGCGAAGAGTAAGTAGTAAGGAAGTGAGGTGAGCAGTGTTGACAAAGGCGGAGTCGATGGTACACACTTTATTGTATTTCTGATGACAGGAAATTTCAATCTGAGGTGCATTTTGCTGTCGGTGTCACCACACTTTTACTTCCAATCATACGTATCCATTAATGTTAGAAGGACTGCTGGAGGCTGCTTTCGTCACCGGGTCGGTTTTGTACTCAACATACAACTTTGGGAGTCGTGCTGCTATTCTTTCCTCATCCCTCATCAGTGAAGAGTTTAATTTTGTGAGAAATACATCACATATTTGATGCCAAAAACAGTTGCATTTTGCAATATCCAGTCTTCCATAACCAAGAAACTCATGCTAGCATTCCTTTTGGTTCAAAATGAACCTTTTTTTGTAGTGGAAAAACCCAAGGTTTGCATAAAGAAAGAAAATACTGAATCTACTTTGCATAGCTTAAAAGTATCCAGGCTTTACCATGGCTTTAGGAGGATTTTATTTGGAAAAAATTGAATTTACCAAAACTGACCAACTGGTAGAAAAATGTCAAGTTGAAATGCAATTGAAAGATGTCGCAGGCTTTGATTTTGTATTATTCCCACAGGACGAACCAACAGATGCGGCAGCTTTGAAATTGGGGTGGAGGCAACTATCACGCGAATGGAGTTGTAAAACATCCTGCTCTCCATTCCTGTCGTGTTTTACTGTATCAGCGGTTTTATTAGAAGGTCATTTCATTTCCGCAGCTATTACATCAAGTGGACAATGGAGAGAGTGACTTGCAAATTCAGCGCAATCTCTTGCATATTTTTTGAACGAAAGCAATTTCTACTTAGCCATATTTTGTTTCAGTGGTGAAGACGGTCCACATCAGTGACCTCTGATTTCGTCATCTGATTGGTGGTGAGGGAACTGCTAATACCTGCGACTACTCCAAGGTCTTTGTTTCCGTGTTGCACCTGTAGGCTGGATCTACGAGCGTGTGTTTGCCTTTCATTCCTAATTATCTTTAATAACTTCCGAGTCACTTGAACTGCATCATTGTTGTTTAAGTATTTTATGACTTAACGCACAATGACGAGGCCTGTTTTTGGATCGGTTCTCAATTTAAATGACAGTGACAAAGTGGGAAATCCAGTGAATAATTAATTAGCTATTGCGGCCAATAAATTTAACTTTTTTTTATTTTGGTTATGCAGTAGTTATTGCGGATTTCTTTTACCTTAAAACAATCCGTCTGGGGAAACGCAAATATTTCTGATGCAAATATTCTTGCATCAGAATCTGTTTCTACCACTTTTAATAGATATAATGCTTCATCGCAAAAATGAATAGGCCAATCTCTTTGTCGATGAATTACGTACCTGCAAATGTAGCTGCGTTTTTGGCCATTTTTGCACGAAAACCCAACTGGCCTACACGCCACAGCCTGTTCCCCTTTTCCATTGTGACCCACCTGTTGAATAGTATCACGTTTATGCCATCTATACCATGCACAATTTCCATATTTTCACATTCCATTAGCTAAACTATCCTGTGGTTTGATATTTAAATGAAGTTTCAGAAGAATACACTTAATTGATTCCCTCCCTACATTCATCAGTCACTTGAGTTCGCTAAAGGGCATTAAGATCACATAGCAGACAAAATGACCCTTTGTGTATATATTTTCCAAATGTTTGTACCTTTCAATCATTTCTTCTTCGATGCCTCGGCATAAGTCAGCACAACCGTACACGAAGTGAGAGATCGCTTGCTCATGTCGGAGTGTGTAAGCTGATTGAATAAAGTGGGATTTCGGTCACATTTGAAACCAACTATGCGACAGATGTATGTCAGAAGCATGTATGGTGGAACAATGAATGATCTGTGTTCCAGCGATCTGCGAATTGCATAAAATGGTTAATTGAAAGTCCGACATGTTACGCAGAATTCAGGAGTTGTGGTAGTAAAATGTGGCTGATTTCCCACCATTGATGTGTTTGATTGATGGTCGACGAGGGACACTGAACAATGGGAGCGCCAGGGCCGAGGTTCTAACTGAGACAGGGTCTACGTAATGCTCTGATATTTCGCACAAATCTACGTGCATTCCAATCTGTGCAGATGGTACTTACAGTTGGCGCCATGAACTTAGGGTTATGCCAGTAGACTATTAATGTCTTCTGCGCAATGGCAATATTTCGTGTGCAATTCCACTATGAATTCTTACGATTCCACTTATGATTGGTGGTACTACGATTACATACAGTGCTATTTGATTAATTGCATTAAATTGAGCTCTATATGCCAGCGAAGCAAATTAGTGAAAAATCCTATTCCATAGCGTCTACATGTTTACAAACAATAAGCATCAGCTCATCCACCAGAATTAGGGAATTATGCGAAAATTGGAATTGCATATACCAAAGTTGTAAGCTTCGGCTGTATCCCAACCGGCTTAATACCAGTTCGAAAACAAATACTCTAACTGAAAAATAAAGACATCGAACTTAACAAATATTTCGGGAACAAAAATTACAAACCGCATTTGACATTGAGAACGAATAAATTTTGACAATTTCCGAAAAGTAGCAATTCAATCGACAAAAAAACCATTCACAGATCACGAAACAGAGATTAGCATGGCCCCTGCGCAAGGATGACACGCAAAATCGTGAAGCCTTCCATACTTTCCGCTCCTCCACTCGCACTACCCCCTCTCCCTCATACCTGCCTACCTGCCTACCTACCTACCTACCGACGTACCTAACCTACTTCCCACCTTCCCGACTCGA